GAAAAAAATTCAAATGAATCCTGTAAATATATGCACATTTCAACTTGCCTCTTAGATTTGAGCCACTTAACTTGAGGGAGTCTGGTTGATGCTCAAATTACTGCATTTATTTATTTTTAAACTTATAAGCCTCATTCACCTCTGCTATAAATCACCACTTAAGATATCTGTCATAAATAAAAGGATTTCCTCTCTGATTTTCCTCCCTTCACTGAGAATGAGTTATGTGTCCTGTTTTTATGCATTCCCTTAAAACACTGTTGACATTTTATAATTTCCTGAATCTAATTTCCTGAATCTATCTATCCTGAAGCAATATAGAGTTGCTTCAGGATCTGAACATTAACTATTGTTTGATCGGTTCAAAAAGATATCAGTCAGAGCCATTAAATACGTTTTTTAGGCTTCGTTGCCCATTGATGTCTTCTGTCTTTTCCTGGGTATTTGTGGGTTTCCTGTGCATGAGATGGGCTTTTCAAAGGCCCACTACATCTGCTTTGGTTTGTTTCAAGCCCATCTGGTGCAAATTTCCAGTGCCAAAGGGGTAGTTGAAGCATAAGTTGAATATTGATTAGCGCAGTCTGATATATTTGCTTCCTTAACATAGCTGACTCCACACGCACGCCACAACATTAAGTGAGCGAGCAGCCCACAATAAGGTGGCTTGTTGTGTGCCCATACACATTTGCATTCATGTAGTACTGACCTCTGTAGAGATGCATGTCAAAAGTGCTAAAAACTGCAGTTCCTTTAACAACCACTTGTCAGTTCCCATTTAAAGATGATGACTGACTGATAACCCCACCCTGTCCTCCGAATATGGTCACAAACCGACACATGCCACGCAGCCAAAACGTTAACAAGTCTACAAAGTGGGGAATAATGTCTATCTTTTACATCTACACACATCTTTTCTATGTGCACAGCAGGTCTTCAGACGAACACACACAACAATCACGTCCATTCTTCTATTTAAAATGAGTAGCAATTTTCTACTATTAAGAGAAAGATGATAGAAAAGTGCCTCACAGTGCCTGCACTGGTTTTGTAAGATGTTAAATTAGATATAGTTTGCTGTTGGGGTTATTTCTGGGAAGATGGAGCAGGGTCTGTTTTCCTATTGTGTGTCAGTGGAAAAGGAACATTATCTGCATCGAATTCTATTAACGCCTAATCTTGATTCCAGTTGTCTCCCAAACACCTACATAATAGCTGGGATGTAAATTAAGGGCTAAGAAAAGCTAATGTTACCTTTAGGTACTAACACAAAGTAATGTGGTGCAGATGAAGAATATATCTGAATGCACTGCAGGAGTAATGAAGTCTTCACATTTTACTATTTGATATATAATATGGTGTTGCTTGGCCCTCTTCGGCATACTTTTTCATCTGCTCTCGACGGGATGCATCCATTTGTAGGGCAATTTTAAAACTCCCAGATGCTGCAGTTACCATTAAGGAAGAAATCTACCAAAGTATTCCTGTCAAAAAGTGCTTTTTTTCTAGTGACATATTGCACCATAAAGCCTATCATCAGTGCTTCTCTTCTTCCATACTGTGCAGTTTGAGCTCAGTCAGAGCCATAAACCTAGTTTGTTATACATGAAGCTCATCAAAGTAACAAAGGACTACCAAACAGCTGTTGAAACCTGACTGTTTTTTTTCCCTGAAATAGTACCATTACTTACAAATAGAAAATAAACCGATGCTTCTTCTGTCACGTCAGGTATAAAGTAGGCTAAACAGTGTCTTTAGGAGTTCTGTAGGTGTATTAATATGAATGGAGATATTATGTAGTTTAAATGCTTTATGTATCATAATATTCAGTGGTGTGCTGTTAATAACCGCAGTCACATCTGGTGCCGCAGCTTTATTACTAGTAACACAGCACTCTCCTCTGTGAGTAACTGCCATTCCTACTGCTTCACAGCTACTTTTGTCATCTGTTGCATTAACACTGTCTTCGTTTTCATGAGCTTGTTTAATGTTTGATGCTTTTTAAAAAAAAGGCTTAATGGTTCAATTACATATTTACAGTTACAGCTACATATACTTTATTCTTAGACTCAAAATTATTCTCATTGATGCTTGCTCAGGTTCTCGGTGCAGCCCCTCAGTTTATCCATTGTTTAAAATGAACCTTTTTAGTTGCTTTCCCTTTAGCCGAACTTTCTTGTGATTGGCTCCCCGATGTAAACAGATGATCTAATGGTATGTGTGTGGTGCCTTTGATGATCCCACCTCGAGCTCTCTGAGACGACCAAATCTATTCTAATTTTCATCATACAGATTCAAAAGTTAAAAGCTAAAAACTGAATTTTTAGAGCAGCCTGACGCCCGAGCTTTTGGGCTTTAGAAACTACTTAAACACTGGCTGACCTCATTACTAAACGTTTCCCATGTGTAGCATAATCATCCAGCATTCTCATAGTATTTTGTGTGTGTGTGCTTGCTGCCTGTAAGTTGAGTGTTTTTTACCAGACAAGGACACGGGCAATTCAATTCATTTTTTATGTATATCGTACCAAATCACAAAAACAGTTGCCTCAAAGCCTTTTATATTGTAAGGTAAAAACTCTACAATATTACCAAGAAAACAGAGAATATCCTAACAATCATATAACCCTGTATGGGCAAGCACTATGGCAACAGTGAGAAAGAAAAACTGCCTTTTAACAGCAAGAAACCCCCAGGAAAACCAGACTCAGGAACAGGCAGCCATCTGCCTCAACCGGCTGGGGTGAGTGGATGAAGACAGGACAAAGACAGGCTCTGGGTGATACAGTACTATAAATAAAAGGGGGTTGTTTCAAATCAGTTCAATTCAGTTTTAGATAATAGTGCCAGATCACAGCAACAGTCACCTCATCCTACAATAATACAGAGCAAACCCAGCAGTCAAACAACCACCTTTGAGCAAACACTTGGCGACAGTGGGAAGGAAAAAAGGTCGATGCTAGTATACTGGAGAAGAGAGTCAAGCCATTAGTTGAAACTCAGATTCAGGGGAAACAATGCTGTTGTCGTCCTGACTGTGGATCTTTGGCTGGACCGTTCCTTACAGGCAGGAGTAAAGTCATTTGAAAAGGACTCAGAGTAGAGCTGCTACTCCTCCACATGGATAGGAGCCAGCTGGTTCAGGCATGATGCCAACTGGGCACCTCTGGGTGAGGTGTTCTGGGCATGTCCTACTGGGAAGAGGCCTGAGATGGACCCCAGATGAGCTGTTTGATGTGAAAGGGAGGCTTAGACTGCTGCGTCTGTGACCTAGCACCAGATAATTTGCTAAAGATGGATGGATGGATGGATGGATATTTAAGGATCAAAATCATTTGCCATATCAAATTAAAAATAAGTTCATGAAGTTTTAAAAGAAGGTTTTCTGAGAAAAAAAGAGAGAATTTGCAATTTTTATATGTTCAAATACCTGAAATTCACTAAAGAATTGAAATATTCTACTACCATATCTGGCCTAAAATAAAAAATAATATAATATCTTAAGCCCTGGGCCAAGCATTTCAGCACCAATTAGAAGTAAAGTAACAATCATCCGCTAGGGAAATATTTTCCAGATGCTGCAACCGCTTTCTTAAATTTTACTTTTATACCCAGACTGTCACTGTCTCAATTTGTGCAAGGTCATTTCAAATGAAAAGTTGCAACATCAGATAACCCAAACATTTCTGTCAAACATAAATAGCTGCAGCAAAAAGAAGAAAAAAAACAAACAATTAGTCTGTCAGGAGTCAAAATGATTCAAGAAGCAGTCTGAAAATATCACATCTCTGTCACCCAAGAGTCAGTAATGAGGAAGATGATATTGCCCAGACCAGAGCGCTCAAAAAGGTGATGCTAGTTACATAGGAGGTCAGCTTCATGATTTCTCTTTCCTCTGTGTCACTTTCTGCCATTGACCAAAACCAACTGCCAGTGTCAAGCTGTGTTTCTGCCAATTACCGCTCCAGTTAAAGAGAGTATTGTTTGACATAATGAAAGGGATGTTTCGCCTAGCTTGCCAGGTGGTGATTGTTGATCTCAAAATTACTGTCTGGATGCCCAAAAATGGGAGAGCAGGACAAATTGTGCTTTTTATTGTTGTCTTTGTCTCTCACAATCATGGCTGGTTTTGTATGACTCAGCGACATGTGGTTTGGGTGACATGAGAGAATCTTGACAATTAAACACATGGTCTATAAGACAGACCCTTTGAAGATTATAGGGATTCGCATAACAGCAGCCAAATGGTTTCCATCTTTGTAACATGTGGGTGAAATAAAACTCACTTTGAACTGTCGAATAAAAGACAAAGATGGCAAAAGCACTAACTCAGAAAAGTCTTCTTCTTCTGTTTCTGCAGAATGAACCAGGCTCCCACCAGTGGTTTTGAGGAAGATGTGGGCAGCAGGACAACTCATCATGTCATGTATCCAGAAAGTGCCATAGACCTGGACAATATTACTAGTCTGGTGCTGATCCCTTTCAAGACTCTGGATCTGCAGTGGATTATTAGTGCTCTGACCACTGGCACTATTAAACAGTAAGTGAACATTAAAGCTGCGCTCATCTATAATTCCACATTCAAAATGGATTAAATATTGATGCATAATGTGAAAGACTGTCAGTGAAGAACCCACAGAGAGTTGTAACATAATGTCATTCTTCTCACTAATCTTACATTATGGGCAGCAACTTGTTTAAATTCACCCGCTCTCATCTTTACTGTTTCCACCTGTAGGCGGTGGACAGGCTCCATCTGTTCACCACCAAATTGCTGCCAAATTTAACAGCAACATATTCACTATTTAGCAGCTAAAGAGTTCTTTTTTTCCCCTGAAAAATCCTATGTTTTTCAGTGAACTCAGTGCTTTGAACCTTCTGCATGCCTAAAGCTGGGCATACACCTTGCGATTTTTTTCTGTCGCGTTATTTAGCTCCTGCTCAAACTGTACGACTGAGTCACGGGGGTTAGAAGTTCGTAGGTCACGATGCATGGTCTCACACTATACGGCTCGAAGCTTTGATACGACCTGAGTGCTCACACTGTGCGTCCAAATTTGCGTCTAAATATTATATAGCTAATATATAACACAAAATCTGTCTCTCTCTCCCTCTCTGTCTTTCACTCACACAGACACACACACACACATACCACCACCACCATCAACTTTGCTAAATTGCTAATGTAAAACATAATTGAGGAGCAATGTCCATCCATCTCTTTTCTCGGTTGTTGCGGTCGTGATAGTTTTGTGAGGCCACATCGAAAAGGCTTGCCAAAGTTCTACAAGTTGGGCCTCCATCGCTTGTGTCCAGATCACACGCTGCATTGCCATTCTGCTCCGTCACTGTCATTTCCATTTCTGTGTTTACGCATGCGCAGTGTGAGAGGTTGCGTTAAATCGACTTGTGGCACTGCTTCAGCAGTGCGATACCCTCACAGGAGGCGACCAGGATTTCAAACTGGTTTGATTTTCTCGTGGCCACACGATTGCTGATCGGGAGCTGGCGGCAAGGTGTTAATTGCTTCGCATTATCCCATGTATACTACACGATGCATGACACACGATTAAGGCGAAACTCGTGCCGATCCCCAAAATGGTTGCACGAGTGAAAAATCATCCCAAAATGGTCCAAAAAATCGCACAGTGTATGCCCAGCTTAAATGGGTAGTTTGTTTTAGGTAGTTTGTTGTTAACAAGGTCTAAAGTGACTGTTGCACTGCCCACAACTGACCTTGAACATGTCACTAGCCTATTGCAGATGAAAACAAAGATAATAAAAAAGGCCAGTTGATGCCAATATATCCAGAATTTAGAACTGTAACAGTAGATGTCACAGGTTTTCCAGAATGGATACATAAATGTTTAGTCAGTATGAGCTCATTAAAAGGTTTTGTTATTCTAGCTTTAAAGAAATGTATTAAACAATGTATTAAATTGTGGAATCATTTAACATATCATATTTTTATGTATAACTATATTGACACTTAAAATTGATCAATAAAAATAACTTAAGTCAGA